AAAAATTGAGGAAATTATTGCTATTTTACCACTAGAATGGTAGTTGATTTTTTAATTTTTTTTAAAAAGAGAAAAAGATAAAGAAGAAGAAAATTAAAATGGAGAACGTGCGTGCTGCTTGCGTATAAATAGAAAAGCCATAGCCTGGCGTTGAGAATGAAAATTAGCTGAGAGAACACAATGGAAATTTCTTCTGATTCCAGTAGAATAGAGGAAGAGTATCGGTCGCTTCCTCCTCTCTATTTCATTTTGACGCTAATTTGGTTCATCTCCGTCTGTTCCTGGACTTTCAACACTTGCAAAAATCGCCATTTTCAGGTCTATTTCATTTTCTCTTTCTGCTCCTTTTTCCCCCTCTTTCTAGTTTCGCTTTATGGAGAACGAGTAATTTGATGCATCTGATAGTTGAAGACACACTTACACAAATTTTTCGCTGTGTTATTATGAACTTTTTGTGTTATAATTCCTTCGTTATTCATACATGAATAAGCTACTCGAATTGATTCGTTGCCTATACGGTTTATCGAGGTTTTATGTAACGTCGTTAATCAATTTATCCGAGTTATGCGCTTGGAAGTCTTCTTTGTGCAAATAATTTAGTAGTTTTTTAAATTCTGTATAGTATTTCCGATTTATCCTTTACTGTCGAACTGTTAAAGTAATTTGTTTAATTTTGGTTGTTTATGTGCACTAGAACAGACGAACAGATTGCAATGGACGCTGGCTACTGTTCCACTGATCAAAACTCTGCAACTTACCCTATCTTTCCTCTTTTGGTAAGGCCTTTTGTCATTTTTATTATTTTAGGTGTAAAGTGAAGCTTTCCTCCAAATTTGACTGTTTGATGCAAATTTATGAAAATTCGATTTCCACTTCAATTTGATTACCTAACCATGGGATGCTCAATAGTTCTGTCTGTGCTCTATTTCTCGAACGAAACAACTACTGTGGATAAAGTCACTGTGAAGTTAAACTTGCTCATTGGAGGTTTTGTTTTTTTCTTATTGTTCTTCTATTTGATGTTGCCTTGCAGGTATTCATGCTTTTATCATCATGTGTGCTCTCTGTGGATATCATTTGGTGTCTATGTTACTGGAATTCTGTTCCAAACAGTAACTTTTGTTTCGTTCTTGCTCATTTCTAATGGATATTGCATCACGTGTGAGCGTCTTTCAATACAAGAGCGCCGCATCACAGCTGCGCTTGGATGTATTTTCTACTTGACTCATGTCGGCTATAGAGCTTCTGTACCTTATTTCTCTGTGAGTCCACTATGTTCTTTTGACTTTGAAAGAGTGCAGCATTGCCTTCTGCATTATCGCACTATGAATTAGTCGTGCAGCATTGTCTTCCATATTATTGTTTTGTTTTAATTTCTTTGTCAGACTGAGAATTAGTAGTGCATTATTGCCTACTGCACTGTTTTTTTCATTTAATTTCTTTTTAACAATACAAATTAGTTGTGTAGCATTGCCAACTTCTTTATTGTTTTCACACATGATATTAATTTTCTGTTACGTATGTAATACAGGTACTCCTCACAGTTGGCTATGTCATTTCATTTTATGTAATATTTAAGCACATATCGCAGAACTTAATAGTTCTGCAAGAACAGTTGACCTTTATAGAGGATGAGGAAATCCCTGCAATGCATGAAGCAATCTACACAAAGTATACAATGCTCAAGTATGCAATATTCACTAATTTTAATATGGTATCCTATATTTCTGGACTCAGTGTCTCATGAATTATTGGGTTTTAACTCTTTATCTATGTGATTATCCAGAAAATTTCGAAATGCAATGCATATGATGGCTGTGGCAGAACTGGCGGTATTGACACCCACCTTTATTTGTTCTTAGTAGTTAGTTTTACTTTAAAATCTTGTGATAATCAGGTATTTTAATTTTCAGATTCTTATAAACGTCGACAATTCAATAGGTAACTACTGGCTCCGATTGTTGGTTCGAGAATGGGCACAGTTTTGTATACTCTCTTACATTGGGTAAGTGAAAATTTCTGCCAGTTTTCGGGTTTATTTTAGTAGAAAGAATTCCTTATCAAGTTGTAATCTGAGAATATCATTAATATTTTATTTACCTCAGGTGGACCTTCAGGTCAAAAGACTTAGCACCACGCTTTTCTGTTATGCCTGTAATAAAGTCTCTCGGGGAGAGAATGGTACCTCCTATTTATAGCATTGTAAGTGTCCTTTGATACCATAATTCTAATTGCCTTGCTTAGAGTTGGCTGATCTTGGTGAATATTGTCTATCTTTTGTCTAAGGTTTGATATTAGCAAAAAAAAAAGTGGAAGTGGTATGAGATGATGATCATCTCCTTGTTTGACAAGAGCAAGGGAGATAAAAGAGAAACTTGATCCGTACATAATGATTTCTAAATAGTCAAATATGATAAAGAAGAAACTTTTAAACGTTGTCCTTTCTCTTTCAATTTCTCGCGCCTTCTCCCCACATATTTGGAGACCTTAGCCAGATCTTTATTCGAAACTTTACCCCTAACAACTACCACCAGCAAGGAATAGCTACATATAGAATAAACATGTGTTCCCTTAGTCCCCTCTCCAATTTTTCATATAAATTCTTATTTGTAATTCAGTGCAGCCTCTCCTGAACATTTAACATTTTGTAGTTTCCATAGCTGCTTGTAATTGACTATTTTGATTTTAATTAGCAGCATCATGAATTAAAGAAACTTTAAGGTAGGCATATGGTTTGTATTGGAGCTGGATTCAGGAGTATAACTCATAATATCTACTTGTACATATACTGCTTGAATGAATCCCCAAACCTCTAATCTTCAGTTGTGATACTGCAGGAAATGGATGCAGCTACTTTTAAAGACTTCAGTACTCATGGATGGCATATAGGCGTGGTGAGTATTCATTCATGAGATTTGTTCTCGAGTTCCCCCCATCTCTCATCATTTTCAATTTTTCATAACTTCTTCTTGGTGTTATTGTATTAACTAACTGCCAATTAGAACTTGATTCAAGTTTCTACAATTTCGACTAGCCAATTTGTTTCCTACACATGTTTCTTGGCAGAATGGTTTATAATCTTCATATTGTTCACTATTATTTTTGTTTAACGGATGATATTTGGTATCTGAACTGAAATTGAATTCTAATCTTGCAGCCAACTTCACCCAAGAAAGGAACTTTAAAGAATTCAGTCTTAGTGGTAGTTCAACAGCCCCATGTGTGTAGATTGACACCACCTGACACTCATTCTCAGACTGTAGCTTAGCTACTTTTGCTGGAGATGTATATTATTCATTTGTTACCAATCGTAACAGAAGCCAGGTTCAGGACATCCTGCAGATCAAGCATCCATCTACTTATAGGAAAAGAGGATTATAACCAGTATTTTCTGTAAATCTTTGTACACATCTCTACTGAGGAAACCTCAGAGGTTTCGGCTGTAAACTGTATATTGTTCCCTCGATATTGTCTGCTTCAGGTGTCCATATTTCAATGGTACAAAACTCACTTTGCTGCAAATACACTGTGCTGGTGTTCCTCTAGTTTGCAGCTTAATAGTTCCTTATTTTCACTACTGATATTGTAGTTTCTATGAACAAAAAAAATTAAAAAAATTGTCTGATTCAAATACTGAATATTCCACGAGGATGTATTCCCAATGATTAGAACATCAGGCAAGATTCTGCAGTGGACGTTGGAAACATCTTACTGCAAGAGCATGTTTAATGTCTTTGGAAGATTTGAAAAATTGGGTTTGGAATTTCTTTTCTTTAAGATAGAAGTTAAAGGAGTACTTATTTTGTAAAAAAAATTCAAACAAACAAAACATAACAGAACTCGCAGAGACTATCTTTGGGAAAAAAAAAACGAATGACACCTGGTGTTCCTTTATTTCTTTCTTTTTATGAGGGTGCTAGATGAAATTTTTTATTATGGATGAGGTACAACTGGTACTAGTTGTATGAGGGATTATTATATTAACATTATATTCTGATTCATGGGCCATACTTTATTTTCCTTCCTGCCCTTTTGTTTCTCTTTTTTACTCTTCTTCTCTTTCTTCATTCCTCTCGTTTTATGTTTTTTTTTTTTTTTAATTTTATTTTAAAATCAGTTCAACTTCTCCTTCAGTTTATACGAATGAAAATAATTATTATTCTTATACTTATTTGTTTTATAGAATATATTTTCCAAATTATAATTTTCAGTATTATATAATTAAGGTCCCTATACTTAAAGGCTATGAACATAAAAAAATTCAAGTTAATTATTTGAATGGTCACTTATGTCGTGAAAATCGACTACTAAAATTATTTTTATTTCTTTTTCTCTCATTTTTCATTTATTGTACTTTAAAAAATTTCGTCTTCATATTTCGTGTCTTTTTTAACTTCTACTTTTAGCACCCATTTAAGCCAATAGCCTCATACAACTAGTACTAGTTGTGCCTCATACATAATAAATTTTTCGTGCTAGATGGGGGAAATCGCGGGATTAGTTATTTCATAGAGAAGGTGAGATAATTAATTTTATCTGATATTTTTATTTATCCCATCCCACTACCAAAAGATCCCAAGAATCTTTGAAGGACTGTAAGTTACTTATAAGACTTAATTACCATTAAACCATGAAAAATGAAAAAAAAAAGAGGAGAAACTATCTAATTACACAAATATTTCTATTATATTTATTAATTTTTTCTATAGTTTGAAATAATTACATTTTATCTCACTAATTAATAATTTCATATCACATTATAAGCCATATACATCTAGATACACGTGTTTAGCTACCATATACACTGAAATAGGGAAAGAGACGAGCGAAAACATAAGGAAGGCAAACAAAATTTGTATATGTATCTTAGATACCTATGAATCACACAAAATATATGTATCTAGAACAAATTAAATATAATTTTGACCATATGTATTTTGAAATACATGTATTTGAACGTATATGAATTAGTTTCTGAGTCCAAGGAAAAAACCCTATAAAAACGAGCACATCTTGTATTTCAGAAGGGTTGGGCCTCCGATCGAAGCCCAATTAAGAACTGCTTCTTTGCCTCGTTGGTTTTAGAAGTCCAGCCTGTAATGCTTCTCTGCTCCGTCGTTATCAGACTTTCGGGCGAAATCACGCTGTAAGATACAACAAATCAACATCTCCGGAATGAGTGCAGGTAAATTTACCCTCTTGATTCCCACCAGTTATATGCGAATTTCTCACGATTATGTAGTTCTCAGTGAAAATATATCTTAAATAAGCACAAATTTAGCTTAAACTGAGTCAGTAGGAAGTTTAGTTGTATTCTGTTTCAATTTTGCTTGTGTTCTTCATATGTCCTTTTTATTCGCTAATATTATGGGTAAATTTGATTTATATAACTTATCGGTAAAATGTTGAGTTTAGGGGGACTTTATGTATTTTCTGTTAACATTTTGAGTTTGTTATTTACTGAAACATCAACCTTTGAACAGTACAAACAATTTATCAAAGGTAATCAATTACTTAGTATGAATATCTATTAGATTGCCAATTAGTTAAGGAAAGAGCAAAATATATTTTTCTGAAAGTAAATTGCTATGAGTTTCAGCATCATATTTTATTATTTTCAGGTGAAAAGCATGTTATCCCTTTGGTTGGATGGTGCATGTTACCTCAATGTGGTCTTGATATGACTATGAACCGTTTTGGAACCAATTCTAAAGAAAAGTTACATAGGTTGATATCTGAAGTTTATATGATATTCAGCTTCTTATAAACAAACAAACATAATATGGCATGCATTAAATAAATTCTCTTTCCTTTTTTTTCCCATTGTCATTTAAAATATTGTGGCCTAGCGGTTAATGAAGTTGGAATTGATCATGGAAGACTAGGGTTCATCGGAGTAGAAACAAAAAAATTAGGTACTTTCTCTCCGTTTGTGGAAGCCAGTAGAGAGTTGCCTGGAATGTGTGTGGTGGGAGGTAACAAGTACCTAGTGGATTAGTCACGGTGTGTGCAAAATGGTCCAAACGCCATCTTTATAGAGTCAATTCCATGGAGTTTTTATTTTTAAAATCACTCTGGTAATTGATCCTTTGTCCTCACTGTGAAACTTCCGAGTTTTCAATTATTAATCAAGGAAAGTTTGCCAAGAGGATGAAATTTTCATAGGAAATTGAAATTGACACAACAGACTTTTTTTTTCCTTTTTTGGAAGGCAAAAGGTATTTCAATTCCTTATCATGATGAAAGACACAATGCAAAGCCATTTTTGATTTTTCAAGACATTCTGGAAGGACAAACTTAAATAAGCCATTCAAACTAATCAAGTGGTAGTATAAAAGCATTTTTTTTTCGTTTCTTTTAGAAGCACAAGGGATTGCGCATATTTCAAAGCCACGGTTGATGCGCAGCAACCTAAACCAGAGGGAGAGTCTTTGTAGTCCTATTTGTATGTATTTCCTTATTCTTTACTCTTGTGTTTCAAATATTTATTTCAATTCTTTGAAGGGGGAGCATTTGGTGGAAATAGAGGACTGAGACCGGTTCCACCAGAGAAAGGAGTTTTCCCATTGGATCACATGCATTTATGTGACGTGGTAGAGTCCTTTCACAATTCTCATGGTTAATTTCTTTTGTGATGCCTTCTGTGTGTCACTTCCTATTTTAATTAAGAAAAAGTGATTTTATTTTTGTGATAGAGCATAGGTTTTCCGTGGTACGTTTTCTTGTCTTATTTGTTTTCTCTCTGGTTCATTTTAGGAGAAGAAGGAATACCTCAATTGTCTTAAATCCGCTGGGCATAAATCCGAGGAGTGTAGACATCTCTCTAAAAAGTACCTGGAGTGCCGAATGGAGAAGTAAGTTCATTTGATTGGTTCGGAAAACTTGTTACACTACTTCAAGTGTTAAAAGTATACTTTAGCACACAGCTTAATGTAGTCATCAAAGGTCTTTACTTGCTTTGGTCGCTGCACTACAAAATGTTCCAGTTTGTATAAATTCTATATAGCAAGTTTATAAATTCATCTTCTATATTCACAAATATGTGCAAATTATGCCTCGTAATGTATCTGAAAGAGTGCTTCCCCTAAATTTTGTCCACTGGAGGAAAAGGTGAAAAGTTTCCTAACGTAAAACATGATCAATTATATGAGGTGGTTATGTCTCAACAGTCAATTGATATGGTTATGCTCCTAGCAGAGGATGATGACAGCATTAGTTGGAATCAGGCTCTTGTTTCTCTCTCATATTACTTCATAGTGCAACTTCAATTTTTTTCTATCAGACTTTACCAGGAAAAATTCTTCCATTTGGTGTTTTTTTTATCAGTTATGTGATGCATATCTTCATAAGAGATGAACAATGCAATATTGGTGCTCGTTGATTTTGAATTTGTTGCAAGTCATCTGCTGTATGTGAGAGTTTAATTTGGACCTTTTGCACTTTACATAAGTAGCAGTATTCTGAATATTGTTTTCAATGTATTCCAGCAGTAGATGCGCAATTTGAAGGGAAGAATTCCTCCTTAAACTATAGGAATATAGAAAGAGTTCTAGGATAATTCCCCATATAGTTGAAGAGAAGATCTCAGGAAGTACAAACCTTGATATTCTGAACACGCCAAAGTCTGAAATACCTTCTCTTTTTCCTTTGAAACAACACGAGGCTTTGTTACAACATTTAAACACACATTGATGGTTTTTAGTGAGATGGTTTGACTAATATGTGCTGTTTTTAGGTCTTTTCTGTTATGTAATCTATCTCTATGTTAATAAACAACAATTGTTCGTCATAGTATAGGAATTTAGACAGCAAATAAATGATTGCTTCATTAGCGCAATTGCAGGAATTTGATGGCAAAGCAAGACATGTCAGAACTTGGCTTTGGCAAAAATGTTGATGCTGGAACTAAATCAGAGGAAAAGACAGAACAGACGAAAGAGAAATGAAGAGTGAATTACTTGCTGTGTACTTCTGAATAGTCTGGCTGTGAAACTCCAGGCCGACAATAGTCGAATCTCCACAATTTCTGTCAGTTCTATGTGGAGGTGCACATTTTTCCTCTCAACCTTTTGTAACGTTTTTATTTCTTTCTTCTCCTGGATCCTCTCTGAACTGTAGGAAAAAAATGTATAGGGAGAGGGGAGAGAACACGAAAGGAAACTGAGTTTACAATGTTATAAATGAGAGAATAATCTTGTTTGGAAATTGATATAATTCAGAGCAATGTGTAGATGTCATTATTTTCCTTTTACAGAAATTAGAGAAAATGAAAGTTTGCTATTTGGAAATTGATATAATTCAGAGCAATTTACTGTAGATATGACTGCTTAATCACCCTTCAGAGACTGTCAATCTTTATAATAAGTTTGCTATTTGTAACAGTAGGTATTGGTGACGAAAAATAAAAATCAGTTTGGTGTAATTTTGAATTTCTTTTCAAGTTAGTTGAAAAGACTGGATATAGAGATAGAGACGCCTTGTCGGTATAAGACCAAATTCCGCGCCTTTTAGATTTGTATTTCAAAAACATTATGATACTCGATTGTGACTCATGTTATGGAATTCGCATATTAACGTTATGATAGAGATAACATCTTCTGAATTATTTTATTTTGTATGGAAAGTTAATTTGCACAAATTAAATTGTGACCGAATCTTTTAATTAATGTTGACACAATGCTTACTTTTTGTCCTTCCTCTTGAGTTAAAAGAGTTAGGAACAACAAAACTCATATTTTCATCTTTTTCACATTCTCTACTACTCAAAGTTTCTCTTATAAAATTCACATATTAACTTTATAATAGAGCTAATATCTTCTGAATGGTTTTATTTCATATGGAGAGTAGATTTGTGCAAATTAAATTGTGACCTCATCTTTTAGTTAATGTTGACACAATACTAGTTACTTTTTTTCCTTCCTCTTAATTTAAAAGGGTTGGGAACAACATAACTCATATTTTTAATCTTTTCCACCTTTTCTACTGCTCAAAGTTTCTCTAATAGAATTCGCATATTAACTTTATAATAGAGCTAATATCTTCTAAATGATTTTATTTCATATGGAGAGTAGATTTATGCAAATTAAATTGTGAACTCATCTTTTAGTTAATGCTGACACGATGCTAGTTACTTTTTTGTCATTCCTCTTAAGTTAAAAGGGTTAGGAACAACATAACTCATATTCTTAATCTTTTCCACCTTTTCTACTACTCAAAGTTTCTCTAATAGAATTCGCATATTAACTTTATAATAGAGTTAACATCTTCTAAAGGATTTTATTTCATATGGAGAGTGGATTTGTGCAAATTAAATTGTGACCTCATCTTTTAGTTAATGCTGACACAATGCTAGTTACTTTTTTGTCCTTCCTCTTAAGTTAAAAGGGCTGCAAACAACAAAGCTCATTATTTTCATTTTTTTCCACCTTTTCTACTACTCAAAATTTCTCTTATGGAATTCCCATATTACCTTTATACTAGAACTAACATCTTCAGAGTGATTTTATATCATATGGAGAGTAGATTTGTGCAAATTAAATTGTGACTTCATCAATTAGTTAATGCTGACACAATGCAAAATTACTTGTTTGTCCTTCCTCTTAAATTAAAAGATTTGGAGATAACAAAGCTCATATTTTTCATCTTTTCCACCTTTTCTACTACTCAAAGTTTCTCTGATTAGTTACTCCCTCCATTTTAATTTATTTATCTTATTTGACAATTGAATTTTATGATTTTAAATTAAAGTTCAGAGGAGAAGAAGGCTAAGAGCCCGTTTGGATTGACTTAAAAGTTGGTCAAATATATTTTTAAGCTAGTTTTTGACTTCTGAAAGTGTATGACAAGTATAAAAAATAACTTAAAATAAGTCAAAAATGACTTAAAATAAGTTACGAAGTGTTTGTCAAAGTAAAAAATGACTTAAAATAAGTCAAAAACCAAAAGTAGGTCTCCCACTATTTTTAAATTTTTGACTTAAAAGTCATTTCAGTTTGACTTTTTATTTTTGACTTACAAGCTAATTTTTTTAAGCCAATCCAAATGGGCTCTAAATCGCGATCAACCTGTCAGTGACTTGCCCTCTAAAGTCTAAACATAATGGTCCTCCTCTAAGTTACCATGAACACGCCTGATTTTTCAAATAGCCTTTTTCTTTGGTTATTGCCCTCTAAATTTATTTGTAGGTAATTTCAATTTTTAGACCTTAATTTAAAAGTTTAATTGAATTTGTGTGATACCTTCAGGACAAACTTTTGACCATATAGGCCGTGACGAAGTCACCTTAGGCCAAGTAGGATTGAAAAAAATATTCGGAGTACTAAATACAATAAGTTTGAAAAAACAAACAAACTATATATTGTGCAATTTTTTTAATTCAAAACTAGTCAAACACATCGTTTGTTGAATAACGGCAAGGGGATGTATCATGTATAGACCTAATTTTGTGAACCTCAATGTTAAGAAAATTATGATCGCAAGGAATCAAACCCTAATCTTTTTACAATCGACCATAACACTATGCTAAAGTTCGTTTTGGCATCTCAAAATTAAAAGAGACTTATTTAAAAGTATCTTGACTAGATTATTATGAATACAAGTTAGAAAAAAGAAAGAAAATTCATTGGAAAGGATATATAGAGAAATTGTGTTTTAGAACCAATGTATTTGAATTGAGATACTTTCGGAAACCATCTCTCTCAGAGCTGTTCTCAACAGTTTGTGTAGCCATAATTCTATTGTACTAGTAAAATTATCCGCGCTTCGCGCGGGAATTTAATATCATGAAATTTATAAAATAATACTTAAAACCTATCAGTTATTAAAAGTAAAACACTATATTATCTTACATACAAGATTACATAATAACGAACATTAATAATATAAAGGAAAATGAAAATTATTACATCTTATCATTTATTCTTAATAACATAAGCATAAATCAATGACTGTAAAAATACATACCATGATATGTAACATAAGCAAAGGTGTCAGTGAGCCACTCAACAGGAGCAAAGTACACAAATATTTAATTGAGAAGAAGAAGAAGAGGTTCAGAATTTTCGTTGTTTTAAAATGAGAGGAAACCCCTCTATTTATAGACAACAACGTGTAGTGTGAACAAATGTTTATTGTGTCATATTAGAAATGTTACAACTATTTGGAAAAGTTGCAACCCTTCAGAAAGGTCACAACCTTTCATAAAAGTCACAATTTTTCATAAAAGTCACAATTTTTCATAAAAGTCGCAACTTTTCATAAATTTCACAATTTTTCATGAAAGAGGAAGGCTAGTTTTATAAATAAATAAATTAAAAATGAATTCTAGTTTGTGGTGGCGCCACGTAGGCGGGACTAAGGTTCTCTTTTATATATATATATATATATGATATGATTCATTGAGATATGTTGATTTTATATTCCATTCCATTGTAAATGAATGATCCAATGTAGATCTATCGGAGACATAAAATTATATAAATATAATAAAAATGGAAACAACAGCCCTAGTCGCCATTTTTATACAACTCTACCTTGGTGATTAAATTCCACTTTAGTTAGTGTGAAATGAACGTACTCTAGGAGGTTTTGTTGTTATTGTCTATTCTATAGCCGATTATCTCGAATGTTATCATTTTAATATGTAGATCAAATAATGCAATGCAAGCAAAAATTATATAGGACAGCATAAAGTGTCTTCACAAATCACAAGGCAGAGTTATGGCCTGCACACACCCTATTCTTCTTAAATCTATTTGTAGGATTATATCGTGTATGTTGTTATTGTTGTGTTTTCAATACCAAAAAAAGAACATTTTGATGCATTCCACATATTTTTAGCTTATGACTATAAGATTCACAAGTTTTCTTCACTTTTTAAAATTACATATCAAGTTAAAATCAAACAAATAAATTGAAACGAAGATAGTATGTATATTTTTTTGAAAAAAAATGAAACAAGACATAAAGGGTGACCTAGAAAAAGGGATATCTAATTAAATTTTGTGGCATGGAACATTCCACTAACTAAATCCATCTATTAAAAGTGCATCTAAACGGCTCCATCCAAAAGTTGGACACACTCACCGGCCATTTTGATTTTAATTACTTCCAACCACGATATTCGCACGTTCAATTATTCAAAATCCACCGTTGATCTTATACACGTGTCACCATCTAATCACCACTCCAAACATGTACGAAAATTTGAATACAAGTCAAAGGCGGGTTCAGAATTAGTCAAAAATTAACCCATAATTAATTAAATTTAATCACATATATTAATAAATAAATAAACAAATGTTTGGCCAATGAATGCATAAAACGACGTAGCCCCACCATGTGAGCCTGTTTTGCTATCTTCAAATTCAAAAATTAGTGGGCCCCACCAAAACCCCTCACACGTGCCAAATTCAAAAATGGTATTTTGAACATTTCTAATAATCGTGTCCGTTCTGGTTGGTTAAAAATAAATAAATATTTTTCTGTATTCTCATCCGCTCTTCGTCTTCGTTCTCTCCTTTTATCGCACTGAAAATACCTTCAGATTTACTTTTAACTGTTTGTGACGGTGAAATGAATCAGAACCGTTAAACTTTATAGATGCTTTTGAAAGCCCTCCGAGTCTTCCATTTCATCTTCATCTTCTATTTCTCTCTTTCTGATACCCACTGGGCACTGTGAAACTAATCTGTTCATTGAATCGTTGATTTATAGAGACGGAGAGAGAGGTTTCAGCTGATTGATTGTGCTTTGGAGGTGTGGAAATTTGTTGTTTGTGGAAGAAGAGGAGATTGGATTTAATCGGAGATTGAAGTAGTGAAAAAACATGAATGCAGTTGGCAGGCAAAGATCTGGAACATCGACGGGGCATCACCAGAGGCAATACTCTGATAACTTCCTGGAGACTTCATCTAATGGAAGATGGCTTCAATCAGCTGGTCTTCAGCATCTTCAAACTTCAAATAATAATGTTCCTCAGGCTCCACAGGTTTTGGATTTTCTCTACTTTTTTTTTGTTTTTCTGAGCTTACTGTTGCCCTAGCTCATAGATCTGATTGTACAGTGGTTTTGTTCATTGTGTTTATTTGATTTTGATGTCGGTGAAGGGACAGGAATATGGATACTATGGTGGAGCTCAAGGGTCGAGAATGCTTAGAGGTGCACAGAGGACATATAGTGGAGGAAGCGATCTCTTTGCGGAGCCTTTGACGCCGCCGGGAAATCATCGACAGTCAAGCCAGAGAAGGAATGGTGACGAAGAAGTCTATCCCAATGAGTTCAGTCCTGGACTCTTAGATCTACACTCATTGGATACTGAGCTTTTACCAGAGGTTTGGTTTCTGATCTGGACAAATTCTGCGTTCGTATTTTTAAGGGGATTGGAAATCTAATTATTTTAGTTATATGCGATTGGACATCACCCTTGTTATGTCAGTGCAAGATGTGCAATTGGATTAGAGCTTCTCATTTTACAGTGCCATGGAATTGTTGTCCACTTTTAATAAGTTTCACATGATTAGAGCTTCTTACTTTTCCAATGCCACCAAAGCTCTTGCCATTTTGCCTGTTGATTTTTCTGTTACTATAGTGCAAACTCGCTTTGCGATTGAACAATTTGTTTATTTCTTCTCTATTTCTTTGCCTGCTGTGCCTACTCTTGCATTCTCTATTTCTTCTCTTAGATGATGGACAGTGGCAGTTAGATGTTAGAATCTCCAGGTTGACACACTTTGGCTCTTTGAGTGACATTTTATTGTAGCATCATTTGGTCAAACACTACAACACCATATATTTGGATATCAACAATTTGATATACCTCAATTTGGTCCTTGTCTCTGCCATGATAATTCATATAATATCATACTAGTTTGACTGATATTTTGTAGTTCTACCTTTATAATTCCTATAGTTTAGTTTTCAAGTTCTCTTATGTGGAGTTTTTATATATAGATGCCTGTTGCTGGTTTGTATGATGCTCCTTCCATGCATCACTTTGCTCGAGCAAAAAGCTTTGATGACTCGGAGCAATTCCTTGCAAACAACAAGCAAACTGGTAGAGTTCGGGGATTGCCAGAGAGTAATGTCTCTAAGAGTTTTGCTGTTGATAAAGACAAGGCCAGCAATGTCGCAAAGATCAAAGTGGTGGTATGTTTTACTCAACTTCATTGCTTCTAGTTCTGGAGTTAAAGTATTCTACTTCTCAGTTTGTATACCGCAGAATCATTCTCATTTTCTTAACGATATCCAGCATGCAATCCCTGTTATGCGATTTCTTTATTTTTTCTCTTGCACAAGAGTAGTCTACCTTTTTTCATGTGTATTTGCACGTGAACGAAGTTGTTAGTACTTGTTCAAGTTGTTTCTAATGGTTATCTACTTCCAGGTGCGTAAGCGACCACTAAACAAAAAGGAATTAACGAAGAATGAAGAAGACATCGTTGAAACACGTTTCAACTCTCTAGTAGTCCATGAAACTAAACTAAAGGTTTGTGGAAATGCAGTTGTTTTTATCCTGTATTGGCAGTTGAATATGCATGTCTATCCCTTCAATTTCAATCTCGTGACTAGAATGAATATTCTAGTAATTGACAACCTGAAAATCACTGTTATCAAACATTTACCCATTATTTGCCTGATGGAAATCATTTTGCTAACAAAGATATCTCTTCTTGAATGCCAAAAACTTCTGCAATAAGATTACACGAATGTGGAAATATGATTATTTGACATGACCATTGATCTCTTTGTGTTTTGTAAATCTCCCTCCTATGTCTTGTTGCTTAGTTTTGCCCAAGTTTGCCCTCAAACCTTTTTCTTTGAGTTTGAAGTTCTTATATACGACTATAATACAGGTTGATCTGACTCAATATGTTGAGAAGCATGAGTTTGTCTTTGATGCTGTGCTAAATGAGGAGGTTTCGAATGATGAGGTGATTATAAAATACATGATTCTACATCAGACTCCAAAACTCCTAACTGCATTCAGATCATTGTTAACTTTGGTCTGCCACATGTCTCCTTAGGTATACCATGAAACAGTGGAGCCCATTGTCCCAATAATTTTCCAACGCACAAAAGCTACTTGCTTTGCGTATGGGCAAACAGGTATGCTACCTAGCTTAATCAGTATTTTTTTTTTATCAATGTCACCATTATTTCTCTTGGCACAAGTTGTTTTGACTTCATCCACTTACTTATCCTTTTGCTTGTTCGAACTGTGAAGAATAGTGGTCTGAATGCACTTACACATTGTTACTATTTGCTCGATTTATCAGTGTTCTCCAATATCTAGTAATGCACTTATCATGTGGGATGAGTTTTTACAAAACTCTTTTATTAATATTGCTTTTAGACCCTCTGCTTATTGATGCTAAGGGATATGTTCTACACCTGTAATCATTTGTGATTTTTCTTTGTTATTGCTATGTTCAAACTCCTTTATCAATTGGTTGAAGATCAAGATTTAAAACATCAAACACTGTCTAGTGCTGCCCATTCTGGGAGTAGGGGGATTTGGTGTACTATGAAGCTTTTGTACTCAAATTCTCTTATTGCAACAATTCCTGAAGTCCCAGGTCTTTATAAATATAACACAATCAGAGGCTTTTAATCTCACAGCCCTGCAAAATGTGCAAACATTAACTTAGAAATGAGAAAAGATCATTCTACATTCAATGGTAAATGCTCATTCTCCAGGGATCTAGGTCATGGCAAGTTCTAGTGTATGTCATTCATACAAATTCAACTATTTTAGGAACCATTACAAAAATATTAATCAGCTGATGATGCAATTGCTGATAAAAATAGCCTAAAGTTTTCAAATTTTCTTCTTGCATTATCTTCAAAATTTGTCTTCCAGTCATTTCATATGCAGTAATTTCAGTCCACTGTTTCAAATGCAAGGCATATGAAACAACCAATACCCAGTCAATTTATTCTGTCATGTGCCAATTTTACAGCTTCCTTGAGAGGTCTTTGACTGTGCTTCCAAGTTTGTTTTCATAATCAATCTGGTGTCAACTATCTGTGATGATCGTGCAAAGAGGCTTGGTTTTCTTACTTTTTCTATAACTTCCTCTAAAATTCTTTTCATCTTTGGCTTATTCAGGAAGTGGCAAAACGTATACCATGAAACCACTACCTCTGAGGGCATCTAGGGATCTTTTGAGGCTCATTCATCATACATACCGGAACCAGGGTTTTCAATTGTTTTTCAGTTTTTTTGAGATATATGGTGGAAAGCTCTATGACTTGCTTAATGATCGGAAGTAAGTGTTTCTGCATTTTGCAACGTTAAAGTGTTGTAGCTTTCTGAGGATAACTGAAACTAATTCTTTGCAGGAAACTTTGCATGAGAGAGGATGGTAAACAACAAGTATGTATAGTTGGATTGCAAGAATACAGGGTCTCTGATGTGGAGATGATTAAGGAGCTCATTGACAGAGGAAATGCAACTAGAAGTACTGGCACCACTGGTGCCAATGAGGAATCATCTAGGTCACATGCTATTCTCCAGCTTTCTGTTAAGAGGTCAGCTGACGGTAGCGAATCTAAACCTCCCCGTGTTATTGGGAAGCTCTCCTTCATAGACCTTGCAGGAAGTGAACGTGGTGCAGACACAACTGATAATGATAAGCAAACCAGGTATTTATCTACCAAGTTACTGCTTTTCTTCGTCTTTTAATAAATTCTCTTCTTACTACCATATTTACCTTGTTTTCTGTTATGCAGAATTGAAGGAGCAGAGATTAATAAAAGTTTGCTGGCACTAAAGGAATGCATTAGAGCCCTTGACAATGATCAAAACCATATTCCTTTTAGAGGCAGTAAATTAACTGAAGTGCTGAGGGACTCTTTTGTTGGAAATAGTCGTACTGTTATGATATCTTGCATTTCCCCAAATGCAGGATCTTGTGAGCATACTTTAAATACATTAAGATATGCTGACAGGTAATCATTTCTTGAATAAGATTTTGTTTCCACGGCTGCTATTTTCTGTGTTCATAGTCTTAGCTTTGCAGTTTGCTGTAAATTTCAGGGTGAAGAGTCTTTCAAAAGGGAACAACTCAAAGAAGGACGTCTCATCCTCAACATTGAATCTGAAGGAGTCGACAACATTATCTTTTTCTGCAGTTGTACCTTCTACATCAACATTTGAAGATGATACCGGTGATTCATGGCCTGAACAAATTGACAAAGATGAATATGATGAAGATTTCTATGTACAAGAGAAGCCAATGTGGAAGAAGAATGAGAAGCTTGATGGTTACACTATCTCCAATTCAGAAGATAAAATGAAGAGAGCAAATGCTCAGACAAAGTGGAAGGAGCCACCTAGAACAGAGGCAAAGTATTCAAACTCGGATGATGATCTGAATGCTCTCCTAAAGGTGAATCTATTTTGTGGAAAATTGAGGAATTTCACTTAGCCCTGAGTGTGCCTCTGAATGCTTTATGTTTAATTTTTCAGGATGAGGAAGATCTTGTGAATGCGCATCGGAAACAAGTGGAGGAAACAATGGACATTGTTCGAGAGGTATGTAACGAACATGAATTTTGTGGAACAATGCTTTACGTCTTCAGCATAGGGAGTTGAAGTAGATATATATTCTTAAAAAATGGTGATGTTACTGATTATACCTGATGTTTGTAGTTGGAAAAGTCTTTCTATAATTATTTTATGTCAGTCTTGTAATCCCGTAAGGATGTTGGCAAGTACTTTTTTCCGTGGTTGTGTATCTGCTTGTCACTTTGTAGACAAGTTAATTTTGCTTGGCTAGCTGGATATTCATGGGAATTGAGAATCCTGTTTCACAATTTCAGGAGATGAATCTATTAGTTGAGGCAGATCAACCAGGGAACCAGCTGGACAATTATATTTCTCGATTAAATGCAATCCTTTCACAAAAGGCTGCTGGCATCCTAGAGTTGCAGAACCAGTTAGCTCATTTTCAAAAACGTCTAAAGGAGCACAATGTTCTTGTATCTTCTGGCAACTGAAGCTCTAATTCAGTATGCATACAAAATTCCGATGTTGTGCACATTTGCTTTGGGACGAGGTGTTGTTGTAGATCCACTAATGGACCCATAGGTGTTGGTGTAGAAAACATGTGGCTTGCAAAAGTTGGAGTGGCAACATTCACATGCTGGTTTCTTCAGAAGAGTTTTTGAAGCCTTCTGTTAAGTTACACAAGAATCTTGTCATTGTTTATTCATTTTCTCATTTGAAAAGAAAAAAATACGATAGATGCTTTGGCATGGCTTTAAGGCTTTCTGTTGCTAAGATTATTATTTGTTGATTGATCTGCCGAGTGGAAGAGGCATTTGCTATGTTTTGGGGGCACAAATTTGTTTAATCTGGTCCTGCCTGCAAAGTCTATCATAGATGACTGGTGGAGGATCTGGCCAAGTCTGGTGTAATTGATTGTACAATTGCTATATTTTCATTGTAGCTGTGTGCCATGAGCCACATGCATCAACATATTGCTACGAAATGAGCTCTTGGAATCTACTCAATTACTAGAGACAATCTGCTGACTTTTTTATGTTGCTATTTTGTGTGGAACTTCCAAACTTAAGCCTACCGTCAAATTGTGCCTCTTTTCTTGATCCTCCTACTGTAACAGAAAATTTTCAAGTCATTCTTGCATCTGTATTATGAAATTTTTGTTCCTTTGGGGACATTTGATAAAATTGGAACGATATAGAGAAGAGAAGATTAGCATGACTCTTGCGCAAGGATGACATGCACAAATCGAGAAATGTTATGAAATTTCTTGACGGGAATGTTTGATATAAGCCTTTCTCAAAACGCCAATGTATGTGATTCATAGTCACAAATACTCGAAGAGGATATTTATCAACATTGCCTGGCTGAGTTCCAATAGAGTACTAGACATTGAGATGCTCCAGTGTAGCTTAGGCATTTAGTATGGAATTTTTTGATATATTTACAAACTTGACTATACAAAATCACAATTTTTGTTGCTAAAATATTTTTAAATGGTATAAGAAGTTGATTGAGCATATATAATATGAATGTTCTCCTTTTGGAGACTGGAAGTATTAATTACTCCTTTAGTTTCTTTCGCTAATGAAGCAATGGCAGAAATGAAAATTGGGGAAAGATAGAGGGTATACTTGTTAACACACCGGGTAAGAGTTGGTTACGGGGCACAGCATGCTAGCCAGCTTCACTGACAAGTAACGAACGTACACTTCCATAATCGATATCATTCCATTACCGCTTTCTTCCTCTCAAAAATTCCTCTCCAAGTTTCAGATTCCCATGGATTTTACACGGAAATTGAGTTTTCTAGTGTTTTTGTTATGCATTCTCATCTCCTTGCAGAACCAAGACGTTGATGATATCAATGTGAAGTTGGAATTCTCTTCACGCACTGACAAATATTGCTCTCGTGATTCTCAGTACTCAATCTTCGATGATCACTCGTTTCCGCCACTTCCAATGTTCGCTACCACTTCTGTAGAGGGGAGGAAGCTCCAACAACAAACTGCGTCTGTTGGTTTTCTCATATACGATTACTACCAACAAACTTGCCCTCAAGCTGAGCGAATAATCCGATCAAGTGTTCGGAGTCTTTTCAGAAAACAACCACAGATTGCTCCTGCATTGTTGAGGCTTGCTTTCCACGACTGCTTTGTTGAGGTCATTTTCCTAAACACCTAATTGTATCTGCTCGTGTTCTTATACATCAGTGCATTTTTTCGTTTTTGGTTATATATACATGAAGTTAGGATTATCAATGACGAAGCCTGAGTTTTAAGTATATTGATCAGTCTTCGTTATATTTTTGATTGTTATCAAGGAAGTTTATTAAATTGAACTTTGGTAATTCTCTTGTCGTTGATAAAACAGAGGCCTAATGAGTCCGTTTGATATAACCTGGTGTTTCTACTTTCTGTTTTGCGATGTAACTCCATTTTTTGGTTTTTGGTTTACGTGATTACCAATTCTGGTTAGCTAGTTCGTAAATTCTCAGCGTGAACTTTCTTTTCTCGTGTATATTTGTTACTGGTTGTGCTCATATATGATCTCTGTATCGTGAGAAATCAATTTGTTTCTCTTTTTCCCAACTCAAATAGTCTAGTGAATGGCTCAAGGGAGAAATCATGAATTTTTAAAGTGTGTTGTCTTGTGAAGTTCTCGTTAATGAATTCTAGTTGATGACTCGTTGCTTTTGAATGGATCATTGCTAAATAACAGGGGTGCGATGCCTCAGTTTTACTGGACTCTGTTGAAGGAATGCATAGCGAGAAAGAATCTCCTCCCAACGAATCATTGAAGGGCTTCGACGTAATAGATATCGTTAAAGTAGAGCTCGAAGAAGCTTGTCCTGGAGTTGTTTCCTGTGCTGATGCTGTTGTTTTGGCTGCTAGAGAAAGCATTATTTTGGTAACCCCCTTCTCCCCTTCCTCCCCTCACTATCTCTCACACACAAGCAACTGAAAGAATCCTCCATTTATTTCAGTCTGGTGGCCCTTTCTACCCACTGAAAACGGGAAGGAGAGACAGTCTGTCTTCTTTCGCAGAAGATGCAACTTTTGAGCTTCCTAGTCCTCAGGATGATCTTTCCAAGATCATTGAGTCATTCTCATCAAAAGGTTTCGATGAAAGGGAGACTGTAAGCCTCTTAGGTATTGTTTTTACCATAGGATTCTTTGTTTCGATTGCTTTCACACAAATGAAATCTGGTTTGTTTTGATTGGAAATGCTTCCAACAGGGGCTCACAGCACTGGGGTGATCCATTGCAAATTCTTCGTCAACAGGCTCTTCAACTTCAGCGGGACTAACAGCTCCGACCCTACTATGGACTCAGAATTTTTGAGTTTCTTGAGGTCAAAATGCAACACCAATCAGGCCTCTTTGATGTCACCAATATCAAAATCACTATCCCCTTCCCAACTAATTTCAACATCACTTTCACCATCATCTATTATCCATAAATTGTCATCTTCCCTGGTGGAGGAGCCAGCAATACCGATGGACTTTGAGGGACCAGGAGAAAGTTTTGGTACACTGTATTACCGCAGTCTTCTACAAGGCAGGGGAATACTGTACGTTGATCAGCAGCTGACGGCAGGGGAAGAAACTAAAACCTGGGTCCAAGCTTATGCTTCAGATGTGTCATTGTTTCACAAGGATTTTGGTACGACAATGATGAAGCTCTCCAACTTGGGAGTCCTGACTGCACCAATGGGACAGATCCGCAAAGATTGCCGGAAAGTTTCCTGATAAAAGCTCAATGGTTTGGTCACTTGCTTAGCCTATTGCTATTTTGGTCCCTTAGCTCCACTTTCTCATTTCTTGAAATTCTGTGATATCATTGTGCTTGGTAGTACAAGTGTTCTGGTTTTGTTTGTAAGAAATAGGCTTAAAAGACATAAATCTATTAGAATTATATCTCTTATGACACTTTTAAACAGTTGGTCAGGTTGACTCTTAAAGTAATCACAATCCAGCCAAAATATATATCTACTGAGTAGATTATACTGTGAATTACACAACCAAAATAGCAAAGAAATACACACAATCCTTGATCTTTTTAATTGATATTAACTGAAAAACAATGAGCAAACAGGAACAGAAGCAAAAGAGATGGGAATTGCACCACTACTCACAATCTTAGAGGCACACGCAAACCATACTTGTTTGTTTCTAGAGCTTGAGAGGACCAAGTCTTCGCATTGAACTGTTGACACTAACTGATGGTTTTCGAATCGAGAACTCAGTGTACATGTCCATGAAGAATCTGTCAACAATGTCAACATAAACTGGGCTGTTTAGCAGAGTGTAGCATTGAAGCACTTCTTCTATATCTAGCACATGATCCATATCTTCTCCTTCCACCATTTCCAATTCCTCCATCTTCTTCAGTAAAGTGAGACTCCCTTTACTTGTGCTTCGTGTTAAGACTTCTAGCCCTTTCTTCTCATCTTCCTTTCTCCTTTCACTTTCTATGTCTTCCATACCAAACCGCACTGCAAGTTTCCTCTGGCTTTCGCTATAATTGCCATCAGCCATCCCTTGATATTTCCTTGCAGTTTTGCTAGTGATCTTTCTCTCCTGAATCTCATTGTGATCAGGGTGATGCCATTGTTGATAGTAGTCCCTGTACAAGTCATCCAACTCCTTAACAGTAGTCTTTGGGATTCTTTTGCTGCTTGAGAATCGTTTGCTGACTGATAAAAAGGGATTGAAGTGACGAGCAGTTTTAGGTAGCTTGTGGTGACCTCCAAATAGAAATGACTTGAGATTATGAGGAGTTTTGTAGAGGAAATTCTTAGTCTTTTGGATGGCTTTCTTAAGCAGCATTTGTGGCTCTATCTTGTTGTACGACTCCTCCATCTGATTTTTCTATCTGTGCAGCAAAAGATACTGCTATTAGCCTTGGCTCCTTTGAAGTTATAATTTCAAGAAGTTTAATATAGGGACAGACAGAGCTGATTTGCTCCCTTTTAGTTGAAGACAAAAAGCAAAAAGGGAATGAAATACAAGGGACACTTCCTTGCATTAGTTGTTCCTCCAGATATATTTTTCCCTTTCCATTATATTCATTATTCTGACCCTACCCTCTGTGCAGAAAATTTTCAAGTAAGGAGGGTATAAACAATAGAAAAGTAAAAAGATAATTGTAGTTTTGAGGGAATCAATGATCAAAAGGTTCTGAGGGCTCAGAATTGATGGTTCTATCCACCACCTAGCAGAAGGAGGATATTTAAAGCTTAGGCTGAAGTTGAGTTCTCACTCCGTTTCGTATTACTTTGTCCTGGTTGACTTGACACACCTCGAATAAACTTTAACTAGAGACGTATTTTCCTAAACTAACTTTATTAATGATGTTTTGAAATTCTAAATTTTGTTACTATTACTTTATATAGTTAATATGTAATGAATCCAAGTAAACTGAAATGGAGGGAGTAGCATTCTTATGAATAATTAAACGTACGTAATTAGGGAATGGAATTTCAACAATGATCATTGTTAAGAGAATGTTGAAGAGTGAGTTGGGTTGATATTTGATGTGATTAGTACATACAACTAAAGAACACCTAATTTTATGTCAATGGGACCTTAAGTAATAATGAGAAATGCTTTAATTAGCCACTAATCTAAGAGCTGGTTTTGGACCCCAAATCATTAAAGATTGGTAAATTGTGGTTGAAGAAGATAAGGGGCATAAACAGAAGAGATGATTGAAATGGTTGAGGAGATGAGGGCTCATTACATCAGTCTCTTTCCTACGGTTTTAACACTTGAATTCTTTAACATGCTACAATAGGCAGTGTCCACCTCAACAATAAATTCCTGTAATCTGCTCGCTCTTGATACATTTCCCCCCAATGCTCTTATAGTTTATACGCTTTGAGGTAGAGGTAAGTTCTACATACACTTTATACTCTCCAGACGTCGCTTTGTGGCGGGAATACACCCGGATGTTGTTGCTCTTAATACTTTATATTTATATATATATATATATAGTACTGAACAGTCAGCTCTCAATATGCAGTATTAGATCAGATAAATAATAGGTGTTACCAAAAGTCTAGCTAATGCAAACTCGAAGAAATGATGAAATAGATTTGCTTAATCACATTTTTCTCTGTACTACACCTAACAAGTTGAATTGCAGTGTTGATGGCGTGTATTTTTGCTATATCCTGGTTGGAATCAACATTTATAGATATTTTAAAAAATGATAATAATAAAGAATAAATTCTCAAACTCTATACGGAACCACCTCAATTAATCATCTTTTTCTTTTTCCAGTTCCATGTTTTGAGTTGGTACTTTGTAGTGGTCCTACTATCTCTTTTTGAAGTGCCATTAATACAATATTTTGCGCCCACATGGTATGGAAGGTGTTTTTAACACTCAATAGCATGTGAGTATCAAAATATATCGTTTTCTTTCTTTTTTTTCTGTCTGAAAATTACAAGGTAGGAATCGAAATGACTGAAATACTAAGATTTTAAGTATCTCCAAATTAGTGCAATTTTTAATTCACAATTTTTTTAATTATTAGTTAAACGTATTTGTCATTATCCATTACTTCTATAAAAAAAATTAAATAATGGATCTCATTATTCTTACGTATATACGTTTTCCGGGCCAAGTAATAGAATAAATGGGCTCGGTAAGATACTAGGCCCAAAATACTTTTGGCCCACTTTAAGAACCCTAAAGCCCTTTCCAACTACGACGTATAAACTCTCTTATTATCGCCGAATCTCATCTATCTGAGGAAGACGCTAGGGTTTCTGCAACTGCACAGCAATGGTAAGTGTTACTCCATTACTCTTACTTCCCCACCTTTTATGCCTGCAAGAGGTGTTGATGTGCTAACCAATGTGGATTTTGTGTTGTTATTATTATAGGGTAAGGGAACAGGAAGCTTTGGTAAGAGGAGGAACAAGACCCACACACTGTGTGTGAGGTGCGGTCGCCGCAGTTTCCATCTCCAGAAGAGCCGATGTTCTGCTTGTGCTTATCCTGCTGCTAGGAAGAGATCATGTAAATTTCTTTCTCTTACCGTATAATTTGTTTTGTATATGACGCTATGAAAACTTTCTTCTTAGTCCGATATATAATTTACTGTTATGTTGAATGAAATGGATTTCAGACAACTGGAGTGTGAAGGCAATCCGCAGAAAGACAACTGGTACAGGCCGCATGAGGTACCTCCGCAACGTCCCTCGCAGATTCAAGACCAATTTCAGAGAAGGTACACGTCGTATTATGGCTTGCTGTTATTTGTGATCTTTAGTTTCTGATTAAACAGTGATCCACATTGTCAAATCCACTACGCTAGTTGAGTTACTTTTGTAATTGAAGTAAAAAAAAAAGTTCTGTGTAGTCTTTGCTTATTGAGCAAGAAGTATGTTCTCTGCATCTATTTTTGTAATTGAGTTTTAGAATTAAGTTCGTGTAGTCTTTGTTAATTTGAGCTATGGAAAATCTGTTCTCCGAATGTTCGGATTTGTTGATTTTCCATGTCAGTGTCTTAGTAGTTTGTGTAGTCAAGGAGCTCTGTATTGTCTATGTTAGTGAACTTCGAATTGCAATATGTTCAGGGACTGAAGCAGCTCCAAGGAAGAAGGGAACAGCAGCTTCTGCTTGAAGAGAGAGTAATTGAGGAGGGTACTTTTTTAATGGTAGCTTCATTTTGAAAGTATTTTCAAGTATTAGAAGGCAAAGAAATTTGGGAAAGCTTATTTTTGTTGTTGATGTCCGGTCTAAATTAGAAGTACTTAAATTTTTGAAATGTGTTGTTGAAATTGACATTCTGATACAGAGTTTTGATTTTATTTATAAGCTGCTTTCTATTTTTGTTGCTGAATCTGAGTTTTTGAGTTCGTACCCTCCCGTATCTGTTTTTTATTGCTCGTTGCAACTTATCCAATGCGTTGATGTTTTTCTTCTTGCATCTATTCTAGCTGATCACCCGCCTTTGTCCTTAGAACAGCTTTATGATGGATTATCCATCCTATTGTTTGAAGATTGCATTTGAGATGTTCTTTTTCATTCAGCATGTTAATACCATTTTTTTGATGAGCGCTTGTGAAGCCATGAATCGTAATGCTTACTGGGGAATGTATGTGTGGAGATAATAACCCTGGTGATTTCTTCCATCTGCGGTCTGCCTATGTTTTGGAAAGGAGAGTTGGTATAAGCCCTGGTAGGCCGAATTTCTGTGACTTCTCTTTCAGTTTCATTCTCACCTTTTGTAGCTACGTGCACTTTTAGCACGATCTCCCTTTGGATTTTGTGAACTCCGACTTTAACATTTCTCAAGTTAATTTGGTACATGACTGTTGTTTGGTCGTTACATATTCATATTTTAGTTGGATTTTTTTAATCTTTTCTTTAATTAATTACGCAATTTGAAAGGTAACCATGGGGTTGTTTGGTGTGAGGGATAAAATTTGGTGTCTTGGTTGTCAAAACTTATCCCATCAGGGATGGAATAAGTTATTCTATATACATGGTGGGATAGCTAATTCTAGTATAATTAATCATGATATAATTTGTTTCCAACCAAAACTGTGCACATAGCTGACTGTTACCATGCCTTGCTATCTGAGTTAGTGCTTAAGAGTTGGGGGTATTGTTTTGGACTTAGTTAACTGAGATCTGTTTGGTATTAAAAAAGTTAGGTTTTCAACAAGAGTAAAGACATAAAGACACACAATCAAAATTGTTCTGTATTTGCATAAAGACACCTTAACTTTTCAAGTGTCCTATCACCCCACAAAACTATTTAATATCGTTATAAATGGGTCATTTTGACCCATTCCCTCGTCTATGTAGTGGCGTGTGTTGCTCACTCCCAGTGATAGAATTCAATCCGACCCGACCCAACCCTATTCTTTGAAGAAAAGTTGTCTTCTCCTTTTCTTTTCTTATTTCTCAACTTTCCATAAAATCTGAAGAAATAGAAAAGTTTTCTCGCCGTGTTGGTGTTGATAATCTCATTGTTGATGTGTCTTAGTGAAGATTCTTGGAGGGACAAAGAATTGAAGGTTTAACAAGTTAGGGTAGATCATATGATAAATATCTTTTTTTTTTATTATTATTATGATTTTAGGGATTATTATAGTGTGAAAGTGTTGAAATCGACCTACTATAGTTGCCATTGTTATGATTTTATAGTTTTTTGTTGTGTTTTTGAGTAATTGCTATTGTAGGGCTATGGAAAAAACCCTGAAATAAAAAAATTAGGGCTATCAATGGCTATTTTGGGTTTAAATTTGGGGAAGATGATATAAAGTGATTAAATAATTAATAATAAAGAGAGAAAATGACATGTGGCACTTTTAAACTGGTCCATGGCAGTGAAAACGCTGCATGACGCGCCTCATGTGCGTGGTAACAGACGAGGAAATGGGTCAAAATGGCCTATTTACAAAGATATTAAATAGTTTTGTGGGGTGATAGGACACTTTGAAAGTTAATGTATATTTATGCAAATACGGGACAACTTTAATGGGGTCTTTATGTCTTTTCTCTTTCAACAATGATATAAGTATTTCAAATGAAACGGTAGTGGTTTTCCGCACAAATCTTCAATCATGAAATAAACTTTATGCACAAATACATCTGACTTTCAAAGACTCTTTTCCAACTTTTTTTTTTTTTTTAAATGAACTCCATTGATCATTGATGTGCAAAAACTTAAATTATGGATATTCTTGTTTTTCAATTGCAATCCAAATGTTGCCCAAAGGCTTACTAAATTTATACGTTTTGGCCTTCATTCCAGTCATTCACAATGTTTTTCAATTGTTAGGTTACTGTGAGTCTACCCTGTTTGATAATCTTCCAGTATGAATGAACTTGTATGAGTTAATGGCCAAGACGTTATAAATACTGCATACATGAAAACCATTCATTTTCTACAACATACCAGTGAAATCTCACATGGTAGTAGAGTTTGGGGAGGTTACCTATTTATCTTCTATCCTAATTTACGACTTTCATACCCTCATATCTTAATATCATACCATTGGTTAGCTTAAGCTGCGCATACCTTTGATCTTCTATCAACGGAACTTCGCAATAAACTATGATACTCTGATTGTATGGCAGAACATATAATCAGAAAAATACAATGTTGCTGAAGAATGTATGTATGCTATACTGATATTTACAAGGGTATTGGTCAAAATATAGTTTACAATCTTCCCAAAAAAATATCTAATTTACATATCCTCAAGGAAAATGATTCCAACTCAACTTTAACAGTTTGTGTTTCTAAAGAAAAATTTTCCACGCCAGTTAACAACTAGCGTACAAGACATGTATGCAAAAAATCGATTCCCGGGGAGTGCCTAAGGGAAAGAAAAATGTATGCAGAAATCAGTTCCCAGGAGGGACATGGCGAAAAAAAAAACTTTTTGATTTTTTTTTTTTGATATAATTTTCTCTAAAAGATGGACCAACTGTCTCGGAATTCACACACACTAATCTATTTTGAGCTCTCCAAACTTCCTCTTCTCTTGATGCAATGTGTTGAATACGCCATCCAGCTCCGGGAAAGCGGACAGCAGTAGCAGCTCAACAAGATCAAGGACTAACAGCTTTAGACACACAGATGACTGTAAAAGAAACAGTGACTCAATTAGTAGAACAAGATGGAGATTTGAAAGGTTGTTATATTTAAAGCAGATTCTAACGGCACTGACTATATTACCTGGATGAAGTAATAAAGATCCTTTGCACATTGTTCATATTCCTTGTGACCAACTAGTCCAACAACAGCAGCAGGCGCTTTTTCTGTAAAAGGTTATCAGAGTAAATAATGGCAAACTATTATGGATGATGAATGTTGAAATGGTCAATAGCCAATGAGACATGTTTTTTGGGTGACCTACCAATCATCAGCTCATATACAAGGTTAGCACGCTGTTCAGCTTCCTTCTGTTGCATCTCATCCAGTTTCTGGTTATCCTCTACCGTTGGTGATGATGATGGAGTAGGTCGGTTTTGTGGAGAACCAACAGATGGACTGGCAGATGGAGTAGGAGGTTGGTTTGATGGAGAACCAACAGATTGACTGGCAGATGGTGTAGGACGTTGTCGACTTGGATGCTTTGTTATGAATATTCCATCAGGCCATAGAATCTACATGGAGCACAAAGAATGAGAACACTCAACACAGTATCTATAAGAACAACCAATACAGTATCAATAAAATGTTAATCACAGAATCTTGGGTATCATGAGTTATCCGAAACTACTTTTACAGGCTTCTAAGAAAAAGCATACACCACCACCTCTGTCATCTATAAAATGCACATATTTTATGAACACAGCATGCTTACTACTATAGCTTTTTCTCATAAAGCAAGCTTACAAAATAAGCCTCCCACCCCCACCCCCACCCCACCCAAAACAAACGGAGAACATAACATAAGAACCAAAAGATATCAATAGGAGGACAGCAAATTGTTTGATTTAGCAAATCCTGGAAAATTAAAAACTATTATTTGGGATGGTATTAATTGATTAAATCACAACAACTAGGAATTCAAGTTGATTTGTTCTTATCAGCTTGAGAAGGAAAAGCTACAAAATTGTGACACTTGCCTGCTCAATACGTCTAATGCCTGCAGCAACTACTGAACCCCTGCGCAGACGCTGGATTTTCCCAATCAGCCAGTCATCAAATGCATCACCCATTCCCAATTGTAAAACCTGTTTCGCCACCCAGAATGCCTTTCTCCTGGTAGACTCCCCAAGAAGTTATAACAGAAATGAGTAATCAATGAGGTCCAAGTGCATAATAGTTTCACAAGAATAATACCTGATCCATCCACCATCTTGGAGCTGAAAAATGACGTCAACCAGGTCTAGAACTGGTGCACTTACCTGTGGAGGCACCCACTACAGTAAAACAAAAAAAGAGGTTCAAAAACATCTCAAAGGCAAAAACTACATGTGATTCTTTTTTAAAAAAAAAATGGTAAACTACATGTAATTCTTACTAGAGAAACCAAAGGAAAAGGCATCATAAAAAAAAGGTAACTTGCATATCTTTCAATCTCACTAACTCAAGTCAGTAGCAGCTACCTCTATGGGAAGGGAGGAATCAACAGGAGCATCAACAAAGGAATCGGATGATCCATGTGAGGCACGTGAATTAGTTTCAACTGATTTTAGCGTCATTCCTGTGCCTGGGATTGGAACTTTATTTGTTTGTACATTGTCGGAGCCACTACTTGAATCCTCAAAAGCTCCTTTGGTGGGTCTTTTTGGAGGGGACAGTGTGACATATTTTTTTCCATATCTTGATTCATCCACCACAGGATGATGCATCAAGACTCGCTCCTTCCTTTCAGCATCATGCTCTGCCGTGGAGAATATGATATCAGTTCTTGGATCAATCTTGGGCAGAGGTTCTTTATTTACTTTGTGTACTGTATCATCCAGGTTAACTGAAAGCCAATAACAAGAACCATTTACGATTAACATAAAAATTGAAATGCAACTTTCTGGCCCCTAGCCATGCCAACTAACTTACTTACCTGGTAATGTATCGATTATGGAAAGGGAATTCGAAAAGCTATATGTCTGCACGACAATTTACAAGATCAATGCTCTGTGTTCAAAGAATGTATCCAAAGCTAAAAGAATAGAAAATCAATAATCTTTTAACCTGTGAATCAACACTGAGGAAGTCCCAAACCTCAATGGAGTTGGAAACACTTGGGAGCTGCAGCAGTTTCTGTGACAAAACCAGAAAAACCGAATCAAATGAAAATTAAAGATAACACCTAGGGGATAAAAGGAAATAAATTTAACTGCAAGGAGAAAAAGTGAACACAATAGTTTAGAGAG